AGGGTCACAGCTCCACAGTTGACATGTTTGACTTTTAGTTTTTCCTCCAGTGTTTCATTTCTCAGAAGTATTTTAGTTGAAGACAGATCAACCTTGAAAGATAATGAATGTTTGAGCAACAGCTGAACTACTAGCTTAATTTCTCTGCTCTGAGGAGGAGGTTAGACTAGGTGACAGCCTCAGGTCCCCTTCAGCCTGAATTACCTAGAACTACAATAAAAACATTTAAACACTGATGGATCAGGCCAGAAAAAAAAACCAAGGACTTAAGCTCTGGTCTCAGGGCAACTTTCTCCTTTATTACACTCATGAAATATTCTAAAGAAATCTTAACCCAAACATGTAACTTGATATATTTTATTCAAATTCACAAAAGATATTTACAGTACTGTAACTGGCTTCAACATTCTCTGAAAATACAGCACTTCAGAGGCCCATCTAACAGAACAGCTTGCAGGACAGAGCTATCCAGCTACAGAACAAAGGCTCCAGAAAACTTCAGTCAACTTAAGGTCTCCTTGACAGTGATCCCTGAGGGCTGGGAGGTGGGTCTGGCTCAATAGTTAGTTTTACAGTGCTTTCACAATTTTTACAGTAAGCCAGAGTCTGTTTATTAGCTCTCATACCCTATTCCTGCAGCCTTTTCATCTAAGTCTTAAACAGGTAGAAGAAGAGTGAAATGCATGAAAGACAAAAGGATTAGTCTCAGGTGATGCAGACTCCACACAACACCAGGAGGTAGAGGCTGCATGCCCAGATGCCTGCTGCTGTGCTGAGCCCAAACTCTGCTTTTATTTTCATCCTCTTAAGAAAATGGGGGAACATATCCAATGTCCACAGTGATGTTGGTATAAAGAGGATGCTTTGTCCTGGAAAGGAGCTTGAACTCTAATGAATTCATTCCATCATCTTTCCATGTTTTCCTGGTGTTGTGTCGGGAAGTAGGCCTGAGGAAGGAAGAATACCTGCAGTTAGAAGAACAAAGGTCATGTTTGCAGCTGAAGCTGCAGAAGAAACAGTCTTCCAGAGGAGTCAAGGGCTTAGCAGATGAAACCTGCTAGCAGCAAAGCCCCAAGAAAATTCTTCTGTAATACAGATGAGAGAGAAAGAAGGCATTTGATAAAACTAAACAGATTAGAGTAAGTTCAGGCCAAGTATTCTAAACAAGGAGGACAATGTGGACTGGAACCTAATCAGACAGGGAGACCAATGAGGTGGCAAGTACAATCTGCAAAAAACCCAAGAAACTGGCAGCAGCTTAAAGAGACCAGGGAGTGCAACACAGAGGCTCACAGCTAGGTAGCTTTTAAGACAGGGTTGTTATGGAAACCTGAGTGTTGAGATGATGGAGGGAAGTCTGCACTGTGGGTATGAGAAGCCCCCACCACATTTGACCCAACACCTTCCCCCAGCTGTTCTGGATAAAACTGAGTCTTTGCTAAGGTCTCTTATAGCACCTTCCTCATGTCATCAAACTAGAATACCGCTTGCCACTATTTTAATGGCACACTGTAAATCTACACAGATTGAAGAGCAAGTTTTTGTTATAGGGAAGTTGTTACAAAGTGCCTCTTCAAACTTAACTCTCCCTATTTACAAGACGGGCAGTATTTTTTTTTTTAAAGTTTTATCCCCTGAATAATGCTTAAGTCTGATGCATGTGTTGGGTTCCTAGCTAGCACATGTCCTTAACCATAGGAAAAAAACTAGGAAACTAGGAGAAACCTTTCAAATGCAGACAGGAGCAGTATGATTCAATGGAAACTGACTGGGAGCCTTCTTTAAATAGCCACCTTAAAGCAGAAAAACAAGCAGTGGCATTAGGTGTACTTACTGCCTGTTCTGAGGAAGGTGATGGTAACAGTCAACCTGCCACAAGGCAAAGTGTAGTCTTTTAACTACCCTGTGCCCTGCCCCCCCACCCCCCCAATTTTCCTCCTCCCCGCCTTTGTTTTG